GTGAATCCTCTCACCCCTGCACCTCTGGCCTGTACCCAGTTCTGTATGCATAAATAAAACAGTCTTTAAAAGAATACAGAGTTTCCAATGGGACATCATCATTCAAGCCCTCTATCTCTGTTTTTTAAGTGAGTGGCACATTCTTTGGAGTATCCTTGTTTATGACAAATATTTTTTAACTGTATGTAGATTTGGTTTCTGCAAATGGATTAAAATCATGAGGAGACAAATGTGAATGAGATAAAAAAAAATCAACTGAGTAAATTTCATTAGTGAATTGCTAGGAATATTTAATTTTTTATGCACTAAAATATCAAGTGCATAAAGATAAATTTACCAAATGACCTGATTTAGCATGGCATTTTCATGGGTCTGCTCTTCTATGGATGAGTGTGGCTTTGTGTTTGTAGCATTGTTGTGTAAATTTGGAATTCGCTGGCAAAGAAAGTTTGCACAGTGAGAAATATGGGTCGTTCAGCGGTTCTCTTCAGTTTATAATGGGAAAGTATTAGTGACAAGAGGAATCAGAGATGTTCTGTTCCACTGCCCTCATTTTTTAAATGAAGACTGAGAATGTGAGAGACCAGAGAGACCACTTCTTATTTCCCAGCTTCCACCACAGCAAACTGCTGTTTCTGTGCCTTGGTCTAGAAATGATTGTATAAACCATTATTGTGTTCCAATAATGCAGAGGACTCTAAGTCAGTTGTAGAATTTGGGGATGGACAGACAGATACATCTGTGCCCTCCTGCAGATTAAAAGTGAAACAGCAGTCATGCAGATTGAGGTTTGAGGGACAGATATAAAGAAATTATCTGCACAGATTGAATTTGCAAATAGGACTAAAATTAACTGAGGGAGAGGTTAAGTTCTTTTAAACACTGGGTGGAGAGTTGGGAAATAAATGTGGAAAAGAGATGGAGAGACAGTGCATTGTTAAGCTAGTGACAAATTCAAGAAAACATTTCTGCCACAGATTCCTTTTCTCCAGGGGAACAGTTGGATAAATTAAAGTTTTTTAAAAATTAAATGTATCTTTGTCTTACAAGTTTTGAACTTATACTTAGTCCTGAGAGAAAAATACTTGGTGGGCATCATTAAATATTAATCTTTAGAGATCAGTTTAGCAGTGATTTAGTCAGGTTGGAACAACTTTTAAGGAACCAATTACAATAAAGGTTATGAAAAAGAAGTGGAAGAAACCCAGGGAAAATATTAGAATTTTTGCAGGAAATTCTGGCTAACAGGCTTGTTGAGACTTAAGACAGAAATAAAAATAGGTTCTTTTGATGAGGATATAAGAAATGGTAAAAAGCAAAACCCAAGGTTACTAAAATTGTTAGGAACCTACCTTTTAAGTTAATACTTCCTTGTTAATATTTATATGTGTTTGATTAAAAGATAGATAATAATTAGGACAAAATATTCATCTTACAGTCACCTTGTAAAATTTATATAGAAATTCCATAAATTTCAATATATATTTGGGGGACTGAAAGTAATTTTTTTTGCATAGTAGGTCTGTTTATATCAACTATTTAATATAGAGAAAAACTAAAATAATTGAATTTCTAACAATAGAGATTAGTAATATAAACTGTGGCATAACTAAAATGAGAGAATTTCCATATACAATCTTAAGTGATCGGAGTGGCCATCTTAATATAAAATTGGAGTATATATAATTGCTGTTGCATAATGATCCACACCTGAACCTTCTATATTGTGCAATGTTCAATAAAAATAATTTTAAGTAAATAATAATTATGGTGGATGTTAGAAAAAACAAGACTATCTAAATTATATTTTGTCATCACTTTGACTTACTAAATTATGTGGCTCCTCTTGAAAACAAGAGGATGTTTGTAAATGTATCCTTCCTACTTGCAATCAGTGACTTGATGGGCCAAAAAAAGAGATTATTTCAAACAAGAACTGGAAGAAATAACCCTTAAATAAGGCTACTGTGTTTATTTTTAATGTGTTGCTATTTTTCTTTTAATATTTTTATTTTGCAAATTTCCTAAGAATGAAATAAGCCAGGACCATATTTCAAATGCCACCTGTCAAGAATCTGCTTGCATAATTAAAAATATAAATTATAAAAATATATTCTTTTTCCATAAACAGCATAGTTTATGCTTTCGTGCCTGTTGATGTTGTTTTAGAAATTTAAATCTGTGCCTCCTGGGAAGAGCCAGTAGGATCTGAATATCCCATGCGCTGCTTCTTCCTCCCAGGACCCTGTATGCTGCTCCTTTCTCCTGAGGCCTTGGAGCCGGAATGCACATGCATTTCCTTGGGCATCCTGCTCAACTCCATCCTCTGCTCCTCGCTTCTCACTGGCCTTAGCCCAGGTGTCTGGGGGGGGGGGGGCAAAACATGCATGTTGTTTACTCTTCCTCACTTTTTTCTCTCTTATCTGTCCAGAACTACCCAGACATTTTTAGTGGGAAATCATTCCCTAGTGCCTTTCTCACTCATCCCTCATATAGAATCTACAATTAAATGGGGATTTCTAGCTCTGGCTGAGAACATAACCCTCTCGTTCCCCACACCTCTGGCCTGTACCCCAGTTCTGCATGCACAAATAAATAAATCTAAAAAAAAAAAACCAACTCAGGCCTTCATCTTAAATGCACCTAAACTTTGTTTAGATGCATGAAGTCTGATCATCTTAACATTCTGTCCATACTTTTAGTATTCTTTTACATCCTTGTGAATATTTTGACAGTACAGGCTTTCCCCGCTCACGTGTGGTCATCATAGCTCTCCCACCACCAAACCACCCATAATTCCCCACCATTGTGCCACTCTAATTTGCTCACTAACCAGAGACCAAAGTACTATTTGAAAATAAAAATAAAAGCATTCTATTCCTTAAAGCCTTTGATTATCTTCTGATTATACCTACAGAAAAAAAAAATCCCAAATCCAAATCCAGCCTCTCGATCTTACTATGCCTACCTCTCCACCTCTCCATGCTCAATGTGCGCGAGCCTGGCTCGCCTTTACTTCTCCTGGGCTTCCCCAGGCTTCTGAGACACCTGCCACTGCCCCCCTTCACCGCACCTCCCACTTCCCCACCCTCTGCTCTGTTTTCACCTGGTCCATTTGTTTCTTCTTATTTCCCAGTCAATTATCACACGCAGGGACCCTTTTCTGGGACTTCAAATCTAAATTTAATTCTTCCTATTCCTTTTTTAAAGCCTGTATCATAGATTTGCATTGTCATTTTGTGGGTAGCTACTTTATTTATATAGACTTTCTTGATAAGCAGAAGCTGTCCAGCCCATATTCCTTAATGTTTTATTTACCCATTGACCAACACATAGTAGGGATCCAATACATTATTGTCAAGTAAATGAGTAAAAGAAAGAAAAAAATGAAGTGTAGTAAATAATTAAAAAACATTCAAAAGTAAAAAATGCAATTTTAATACTTATCACAGAAAACTGTATTAAATCATCCTTTTTAAATCTTTTTAATTAGTGAAATTATTTGGTTATGATTCCATTTTTAGCTAAGATTTGGGAAAAAGGAAACATTCATACATTCCATGAAAGAGGAACATTTTCTGTGTCACTTTTATTTATCTATTAAATATTTGTTGAATGACTAAGAGGATTAGTATAATTATTATGGAAAGCAGTCCAGCTAAATGTATTTAAAAATATCAGATTGTTTTTATTGACCCAGTATTTCCACCTAAGAATTTGTCATAAGGAATAGCTCTAAATATGGAAAAGGTTATAAATTTAAAGATACTCCTCGTAGTGTTATTTATAGAAGTAAAACATTGAAAACCACCTAAATGCCCCTTAAAGCAATAGCTGAGTAAAGCATCACATATCCGCTAGAAAACATATGAGTAACAACACATAAACCAAAGGTTAGGATAATAGAATGACTTCAACAATGTTAACAGTGCTAATGGAAATAAACAAAGAGTAGAAAGTTTTATAACAATGTTTACAAATCCCACCCACAGGGAAAAAAGACTGGAAAGAAATACGTCAGGCTGTTATGACTACAGGTGGTTTCCTTTTCTTCAGTTCCATATTTTCTTTAACTTGCACTTATTTGTTACAAAAAATATAATTGTATTAAATCATGGTGTGACATATCTTGTATGTTGAGACTCCATTTAAATGCATTTTTAGTGTACTTAAAGAAATCCTGACCCTTACATGTTGTAATCCTTTTACTGAAATCTGTGTTCTTTTTCAGGGTGACAGAAGCTTTGCTGAAAGTTGCCATGCTCATGGATTAGATCATTCATCCTCTTGGCAGGATCAGGGTAGCTTCCTGTCTAGTCCACGATTTTCACACTTGAACTGTAAGTAATGAAGTCCTGTACCAGTTTTTAAATTGGATTTAAAAAAAAAAATGCAATTCATGGAAAAATTAAAGTGGAAGGCCAGAACATGATAGTAATATTCATGTTGTGAGTTTGAAAATAATTCTCCTTATGAAACATACAGTTAATGATGTCGAGTATATTTATAACATTACCCATTTTACCAAAAAAAAGGTGGAATACCTTCTTTTTAAAATTTTACACTTCTCAGAGAAACTTAAGATGAATCAGCCATAGTAATTTTGGATGAGTGGGTAAATTCATTTAGATGGTATTAAAATGCAAATCATCAATAAGTAGTAAGTCTTTGCATAGAACTATGCAGAAATACCTAAACTTTTGCAAAGAATAGGATACTAATATTAATTTCAGCGGAATTTCATTCTGTGGATATAGTGTAAATGTGAAAATGCCTCATTATCAAGTTGCAAATTTGTTGACCCAGGATACCATCACCTTCTGTCTCCTTTCTTCTCTTCCTACCTCTTCAGCTCAATGTAGCATCCATAAATAAACCTTCAGAATCTATAATTTTAAGTATGGTTTCTGTTATGAGAACCCACATGCAATACCTTTTCCCTTCCTTTCTCAAAAAAAAAAATCACGTAATTATTTGTCATTTGAATGACTTTTTATTTACTTCTCTCAGACAAGAATGAACTCTGTGGTGTTAGAAATCATGTTCACCACCATTTTCTCAGTATTCTTCATAATAATTGGCACTCAATACATGCTCAATTAATGTTGGATGTATGAGTATGTAAGCTGTTTAAGTTCTCTTTTGTCCAAATGTTATTTAGTGGATTCTCATTTAGATACCCATTTTGGTTTTCAGTTTAGCATGAGCATAGAGTCTTACACATTAAATTTGACAATGCTGTCCTTTTAAAAAGGTAAGTTGCTATAAAAGAAAATACCAAAATAAGCCATGAGGAAGTAGGTCAAATTCAAAAGTGATAGCTCTCATTTTTGCTGATTTGTGGGTTCATTGAATAAATATTTAGCAGTTTCTGATCAATGTTTTGGTTTTTATTATATCATGATTATTTTTATTTCAAAAGCTAAGCATTTCTCGTCCCCATCCTAATCTTTTCACCAAGTGATTTTATGTATCTGCATAAACCCTCTGCTATTCTAATCTGGCAATCACCCTTCAATATGGATCATATATCAAGTTGGTTGTGATAACTCAGAATCTCATACACACATAGGCCAGTTTTTAAATTTTTCATATTAAGCAATGGAAAATTTTATTCAGGTCTGTCTGATATATGTGTAAACATGAAGGAAGAATTTAGGGGCAAAGCACCACTAAACTTCAGAGCATCCCATCCATTAGCTATTCAATAGCTTGGGGACAAAGAGAGCCACAGTGTGAACATGGAGGTAACAGTGCTGCTAATTAATTTTGCCATAATGACTTTTATGAGATTTCATGGAAAGACACTTATAAGGAGATAGTCCAAAGACATTAGCGTGGAAACAATCAAGATGTTTGGAATTTTAGCTAATATTTTGACAGATAGACACTATCTGGCGTCTCACTCAGTTGCATTTCATGGACAGCTGTGGTCATTTCTCTAAGATACTTTTCTCACTGGCAGCCATAGGTCTCTATATAACTATAGTGAACAAAGGGAAATGAAATTAATTGAGAATAATGCGTTAAAGCACAGCACTAAGAAGCTAAAGCCACTTCAGCACAAGTTCAATCCTCGCCCCAGAGTGACCCACATGGTGTGTCAGACCTCTCCTGATCCACCCGCTACTCCCCTCAGCAATATACTTCCTCAGTTGGCCTGTTCTGCTCCCCATTCTGTCTCTGGTGAATCTTCTCACCGCCCCTGCTCCTCTGGCCTGTACCCCAGTTCTGTATGCACAAATAAATAAATATTTAAAAAAAAGAAGAAGAATAGGATGAATCATCATTGAAAACATAATTTGCACAAGAAATTACTTAGGGAAGTCAATATTTAAACTCTCAAAAGGAAAATTTTACTTAAAAAGTAAAAATCATTATTAACTTATTTTGTTAGTCAATTTACTATTGATAGTTATTAATTATAGACATATAGTTATTGAAAAGTTTTGTTTTATGGTCTTCCTCCAACACCTATTTCTGTGTTTTCTAGGGTATATTTTATAATTTTGATGATAAGTACCTTATTGTTAATCATTTTAAGTGGTTGAATTGAACTTATTCTAGAAATATTCATTCTTTTCTGCTTTTCTGATGGACCTTGAGTTGTCTGTACATTTTTCATAATGTGGTAGTTTAGAACTGGAATAAAGTTACCAAATACTTCTCCATATTTGTAGCATAAAATCAACCTTACCTTAACTATAGGAATTTTCCTATAATTGTTCTTTAACATTTTCTTTAAACTCCAGCAAAGAAAACAGTGGGCTGTATAGCAAGTTGAAGATACAGAGAAAAAAAAATATCTTTTAAAATATCATTAATACCTCAGAATGTTAGAAAAAATATTATGTATATTGAACATAAGAACAAGATCCTCTGCAAAGTAAGCATAGGCTAGAGGACAAAGACATTTAAAACATGACAAGATATAGAGCTATCAAACAAAGTTGAGAAAATCACAAAAAGTAGAAGGAAAATAAAAAGTGTGAACAATAGATATTTAGAAAATCAACTCAAGACGGACCATACATAATTAGTGAGACTCTTAGGAACAGAAAAGAAAAGTGTGTAGATTAATAGGGCCCATCCATGGAGTACCAGCAGCTGAGCAGTAATCTTGAGATTTTTTTCACCCACTCACTGTTCTGATGCCATGTTTCTCAGAATCCATGCCTTCCTTGTGCTTGCCTCAGTCTTTTTGTAGAAAAACACCAAAGAATGGTAGGTAAATAGCTTCAATTTCTGTTTATCTAGAAGCATACATCTTACACTCACACTTGACTGAGACTTTGGCTAGCTATAAAATTCTGGATTGTAAATGATTTTCTTTCTAAAACTGTTGCACAATTATGTTCCAGAACCCAGTGTTGCTGTTAGGAAGCCTATGTCTTCTTGTGTTGACTACCATGCCTTTGAAATGATCTCTACCAGTTGCTCCCCACCCCTACCCATGGCCCTGGGAACATTTTAGGATCTTTGTAACCCCAGTGAATATTGTGGTGATTTGCTTCTTGCAGGTCTTGTTTTAATCAGTTGTCTCACTCTTTGCTGAGTGAATCGTTTTAAACTTTAATTTTCTCACTTGTAAGGAAGAAAGGAAAGATACCATCAAGAAAACCTTTAGAAATTAAATAAAAACTGTTATTATTCAATTTAGTTCAATAATTGGAAAGAAAAAAAAAAACTACTAATGAGTATAAAGCAGATCTAACCAAGCAATGAGAAATTAAGGATAGTCATAGAAAAGAGCAAATAAAAGAAACAAAGCAAAAATAAAAACATAGCTCAGTTAATAATCCCAGAGGAAAAAAATGAACAGGAAAAGAAGCATTATCATTATGTATCAGTTAGGGTTGTGTGCCATATTTACATAGTTATAACATAAGCACTATTCACATAACTGAAAGTTGAGATGTGAATGTATTGGGAGGATGACATGAGGGGAAGTGGACAAGTGTAGATAAATTTATAGGCCAACCAATTAGAAAATAGCAAAATAAGCTTCTTTGTCTCACTAAAATGAAAGTAAGTATAGAAAATAGAGCTAAAAGAGTTAATTGTGGTTGACTTTAGGGAGCGGGATTGGGAGGGATTGAACAAGAGACTACTGTCTTTCTTTGGTTATGTTTGATATGTGTATGTCAACCTTAGCTAAAAAAGATTCTTATAAAAATAGTGTTTGACTAAGAAAAGCCCAGTTTTTAATGTCTGACTAGCAAGTGTTGCATTTTCCTGTTCACTTCTGAATGGAGCATGAAGCTGGGCTTTCCAGTTTAGAACAGTTGAGAGTTGTATGGAGACTTGAAGAATGGATAGCTGTGGGTCCTGAGCAGACATGAGCTTATGAGCCTACAGAATAGGCTCCTTCTTACTCACGTTCAAATTTGGACTGGATGAAGCCCTTTTGTCTATGCTGTGGACGCTAAGACATTCATTCTGCTGACTTAGGTGCCCTGTCATACTCTGACCAAACTAAAGTGTAGAATCACTGACCATGGAAAAAACAAAGGAAATGGGAAAATACTGCATAATTTGTGGTCTCTGAAATGATCCAGCATTAATGAAAGTTTGTTTTAAGTAGTAATTTATGTCAGCTTTGTGTAGTTCAGGTCAATTCAAGAAAAGGTAGATTCCTTCTGCCAGGAAGAAGGGAAGAAATGTATAAATTGTAAGTTTATATTACCATTGGAAATAGAAACACAGAAATCCATTATTTAGAGCCATGATTACTACAAATTTATCCTGGCTAGCTAGAAGTTATGGCCATGTTTCAGGACACTCTTTTAGAAGACTTGGATTCCATTACCTTAAGCCTTTAGACAGTGGGGGCTTAGTAAGAGAGACTCATAATACCAGCTTTTGATACTCTCATTTTTGCTTTTATAAGTAGTGACTGACCACTAGTCTCCATGTATAGCTCCTTTTAGGCTAAAGGCATACAACTTCAGGACAGGGCCTTCACTGCTGGGGCTGAGATCAGGCCAAATTTGAATGAGGTCTGTAATAATCTGGTGACTTCTCATCAGATTTCTTTGAGATTAAAATACTTGTTTGCAGATTTTGTGTCTCTAAATTAAACTTTTAAATAACTGCAAACTGCAAATTTTCTAGAACTCTAAAACTGTTGTAAACAATTTTTATTAAGATAAATGATAGGTTACCCCCAAAAGAAAGAGCTATGTTTTTTTTCCCTTCTCATGGATGCAGTGTTATCTAAGGATTATTATGAGAATTGGAAATTAGTCTTACATATAAGTTTAATTTGATATTCTCAGAAAGGCAGATCAATGAAAGTTACTTAAAAAGAACTTTATTGTATTTCCTTACCTCAGTTTATATTGCTGTAAAAGAAAAGTTAGTATTTTCAATGTTTGTTTTGAGGTACCTTTAAGTAGAAGTTTAAATCCCTCAGATGAAATATAATTAATTCACAGAGAGTATAGCACACTCTTTTCACTTCATAATTATACTTCAGGGTCCACTCGGATAACTAAATAGACTCTTTCATAAGTAATTTACCCACAAACTTATAGAATAGATGCCAAAGATTTATAGGACTGAAAATGCTGGTCTGCTGCTAAGATAAGAACATTCCTATCTCTTAAAAATCCCTAAGTATATTCTCTTGTTCAAGTAATATTTCCTAGGAGGCTCTGAGCAAGACTTTCTGACTCGGGGGGTGTGGTAGTGAGCAAAATATAAAAGGTCAGCTGGTTTCAGGAAGAGACAGGTAGTAACAAATAAGTAATTTCACATACTCCTAGCCATGAAGATGAAATGATACAAAGCACCTGGATGGCATGAATCAATAACTTAAAATTGGGGTGGAGGGAGTTTTTCTGACACTGTTAGTAAAAGGACTCTAGAGAAGAAAGAGGGGAGGTCTGCGAGAGAGATGAAGCACTATGTGAGGTCATAGATCAAGGAAAGTTAATCAGGTTGGCGTAGGGGTTAAGGTCTCAGGGGATCCTTTTCAGCCACATTCACATCTGCATTTTGTATAAGCTCACTCATTGACTATGAGTTGGGTTTGGTGGAGAACGAGGGGATTATACAGGAGAGTAACAATCTGATTTACTTTTTTTTTAGAGATTTATTTATTTATGCGTACAGAAATGGGGTACCAGCCAGAAGTGTGTGAGAGGATTTACCAGAGACAGAATGTGGAGAAGAACAGACAGATGTACTGAAATATACTACTGAGGGGAGCAGTGGGCAAGACAGGAGAGGTCTGCTGCACCATGTGGGTCATCTCCCTGGCCAGGGTTTGAATTTGTGCTGCAGTGGTTGTGGTAGCTTCATAGTGCTGTGCTTTAGCCCGTTGTGCCAACTATTGCACTACCCATTGCCCTGGTTTACTTTTTAGAAAGATAAATTGCATTATGTTGTGGAGAAGGGGGCAAGATATAAACAGGAAGAGAGAAAATGACAGCCTGGACTGGGGTGTAAGTAATGGTGATGGTATAAAGTTTAAGGACTTTGGTGAATTTAGAGGGTAGAATTAACAGAACTTTACTCTTAAATTGAATGAGGAGCAGGCAGAACTAAAGAAGAAGGGAACCAAGGTTTGAGGTTTGAGAAACTGTACAGATGGTTACAAGATGGTTCCAACTGGGGATTGTTCAATTTACAGAAGTGATACACTTTGTTCTTAAATGATTTTGCCAACTGTAGGCAGAGGCGGGTGGTATTCTGGGCACTTGTAAGGTAGCCTGAGCTCAGTGCTGAAGTTTGACATGTCAGGTGTGTTAAATGCATACTCCACTTACTACCCTCTTACCATGGGTTTATTGGAACTTAATGTTATTGTAAATTGAGGAACACTGGTGTATCATTTCCAAAATGAGAAAAGAGTAAGGGTGGGGCAGACATCAGAGATTAGGAATTAGGCAGAAGATTTCTTTTTTAGTTGGATATAGGTCTCTGGAACTCGGAAGAGAGGTAAGAGGTAGTAGAAAATAGTAAACCTGGATTCCAGCCCCTTTTCTGTAACAAAGTGGACTCTGTAAAAAAGGAGGTGTTTCACAAATGTGTACAGTTCTGTATACTCTGTGTTATTGTATACTGGCCACGCATACATCTTCTATTTCAGATATTCTTCAAAAAAAATGATTATATTCATCTAGGTTTATTTTTCTTTTTTATCTTGACAGCTTTTACTCAAAGAACCTTTGCTCCAGATTCACCATTATCCAAGGAAGATGCCACAAGTTTACCAATGGATGGAGCAAGTCCACTGTTCAGAAAGGAAGAATATGAAAGCAAAAAATGCAAAATGTAATGAGTTGCTTTATCTGAGTGTTTCCCAAAGAGTGGCCTTTCCGACACTGCCCTGTTGGCCAGATCCTCTGGCAGTGTCGTCTGTCGCTTCTGCTCTTCGGCATTGCCAAACTCTGAGATAGTGCTACAGTTGGTCTTTGCAAACGATATAAATTAAACAAATCCAAATCATATCAACTCATGAGTGATATGCAACTAACTTATTCTCAATTTATGGCAACGTAGTGGTCTTCTTTACTTTGCACTTTCCTTTTTCAGGTGTGATCATTCAATGATTGGGATGTATAATTGAGGCTTTTCAAAAAGGACTCTAAGAAGGAGGAGAAATGAGTTCCCCTTGAAGCAGAGGTGGTCAGGACTTTAAAGTCAAGGAGCATTTATATACAAGTGATCTTTAAAAAATGCTTTCTACCTAATAAATTGTCATGTGTTACAACATGTCATAGAGCTATGCATCTATACCATTATCCCACTTTGTAAATGTTCAGGAGTGTTACCATCCATCATTTCAGCAGCCTATTACTACCAATAGTATCTTAAAGTTATTTCCAAACATCAACTTTTAGTAACAATAAAGGATGTACAAATGATACCTGAATTGTAGTGCATTGGAAAGAATTCGTGGCGATATTCAGTTGTTTATCTTTTTGTGACCAAAGATGCCACCGTGTTGACCCTAGTCATATCGTGGATTGTGTTTGGTTTGCTCTGCCCAGAATCACAGGAACAAACCCATGTTCGTGTATATTTGGATATTACCTATTTCAACACCTCAGCTTTGTCAAAGCGTTTTTAAGAATATACCTTCTTATGTGCTGTTCTCTGGTTGAGAAAGATTTCGATGAAGCGCTCAATAGTGGCCAACACCCAGGAAGTGAATCGCCCTGGGTCATGGTAGAGGGATCCTCACCCCCGACCTCCCCTTCCTATATAGAGAGAGGGCAGTAAACTCACACCTTCATTTTGTGACCACATTCTGTGTTTGTTAAAGTAGACTGACTTGTTCAATTTCTCACATTTCATACAGATCCTCAATTTCCTCTGAAAACATATTTTCCTGACTTTTTATACTTGAATGTACAGAAGAAGAAATGGCACTCTCCCCATGACCTTCAATGCAATGGTTACCTCAAAAGGCACAGTTGCTTTATATCCAAATATATATGTGTGTGTGTGTGTGTGTGTGTGTGTATATATATCTCTATATATAGAGATATATACACACACATATGTGTGTATGTATATATACACACATTTATATAAATTATTGTTATTAAAATATATATATATATATATATAAACACACACTATAATATACATAAGTTCTGAGAGTATAGGCATACATTTTACCATTTCTTCATTCCAAGAAAGTCTTTTGAGCCCCTGCTCTAGGCCATTGTATTAGGATGGAGCAAGGATAAATAAAATCAGGTGTTCATGCCCCTAAAGTTTTTGACATTAGGAATTACAAATAAAGGGGTGATGTGTTTGGGCTAGCTGAAGAAATTCTGAATTGGACAACATTAAACAAGTTTTGTTTTGCTTTGTTTAACCTCAGGACTTTGAGCTGTTAATGTACTAATAATGAGCACTCTGAGGTTTCACTGGGAGTATCCCTTTGTGAAGGAGCAGCTCATAACCCTGGTATTTCTCATAACTTGTAGTGCTCCATAGTAATATTTCCATTGACATTGTGACCCACACTGCAACATTTTATCAGGAGAAAATAAGAGAGAGAATGACAGGTTTCACTTAAATCCTATGGAAAAATATTAAATAGCTTTTTCCTTGATACATTAGGAGAAACTGCACACAGCACATTCTGGTTAATAGAAACTGATCTTAACCATTATAAGCACATCTTTGGTCACTTAAAAAAGTAGATTTATTAACTAGTAACAACAAATGTTGGCGAGGATGTGGTGAAAAAGGAACTCTCCTGCACTGCTGGTGGGAATGTAAACTAGTACAACCACTATGGAAAACTGTTTGGAGGTTCCTCAAACTGCTAAACATGGAGCTTCCTTACGACCCAGCAATCCCACTGCTAGGTATCTACCCAAAAGACACAAAAATACTGATTGAAAAAGATACTTGTACCCCCATGTTTATTGCTGCTTTATTTACAATTGGAAAAAAATAGATTTATGCCCCTCCCTGGTGGCGCACCAGGTTGAAGCACAACACTGTGAAGCTAAAGCTACTTCCACATGAGTTCGAACCCCGCTTGCCCTGGAAGTGATCCACATGGTGTGGCAGACCTTTCCTGGCCCACCCACCCCTCAGCAGTGTAGTTCCTCAGGCTGTCTGTTCTGCTCCCCACTCTGTCTCTGGTGAATCCTCTCACAACCCCTGCACCTCTAGCCTATACCCTAGTTCTGTATGAACAAATAAATAAATCTTAAAAAAAAAAAAGATTAGGTCAGGCCAGGTAGGCCTGAAAGTTTGTTAGCTCAGATTACCTTGAATACATAATAACTGATGATTTTATAGCAGAATAGAAAGGAATCTTACCAAGGACCTTTTTAATCTAAAAAAAAAAAAAGAAAGAATAAAGCCATTTTATCATAGTATTAAAAGCCCTGTGCTTTAAGTGTCTGACCTTAAGTAGGAACCCCCCCCAAAACTTCAAGGGCTTTTTTTTTTTTAATTATATTGTATTTTTTTAATTGAGGTGACTTTGGCTTGAAACACTATGATTTAGGGGAATTTGTTCATACTTCTTTAGATCAGTGTCACCAGGCCACCTACCAAACCGCTCTCTATCCTCTACCATGGACCCCTCTCCTTGTTCTTCCTTCACCCATCCCTTCCAGTAGCCTCAATTCTTAGTCATATTCCTAGTTTGTTTTGGTTTAGTTTTGTCTGTTCCTTTGTTTGGTTTCTCTATTATCACCGATGAGTGAAATAATCTGGGATTTGTCTTTCTCCTTCAAAGTCAGCTTTTTATGAGCAACAATTTTGTCAAAGTTCCTTGGTTTTTTGTTTACATGTATTAAATCCAAGGAGCTGTCCCCTCTGAGGATTTTTCCTATCTCTTGCAGTCACCATAAACTTGAGCTGGAAATCAAAAGGAATGCTAAGGAAACACTAATAGCTTGAATTTTACATTTCAAAGCCTCTGATTTTCCTTTACTCACCCCTTTGGCAGGAGAATGTGATATCAACCCCATTGAGTTGTGGCTGGTCAGCCATATTACTTGTAGCACCAGGACATTGGAAGGGATAAACTTGTTCTTAATAATGAGCCTGGTCCAAGACTTAATTCGAAGATTGACCTTTTTGGTTTAATAATTTTGATTCTCCTGGCCATCTTTCTCCCTAAACACACTAAACTTCCATTGAAGTTACGGAAGGCCACAGAGGGGAGAAACACAGCTGGGAGAAATCTGGCTGGATATTCTGCCCATTGGCCAAGGTCATTATTATTTCCTTGACTAGTGTCTGGTTTGTAGGTTGGAAACCAGTTGGTTATATAACTTGCATCCAGTGTCCCAGAATCACCAACTTTTGTTGTTACTAGTTTACATGTTTTTAATGAAGAGATAAAGTCTTCATTAACGTACACAGTGCTGTGCTGAAGACATTTAATTGAAAGATTCATGAATAAAAACTGTATATTTAGTTAAAAAATCAGATTATTTTTCTTCTGTCAATGATGGTAAATGCAGTTTTCCATTTGATTCTCCAGTCAGTGACATACCAAGTATATTTAGAGTCACAATAATGGCGATATTTTCTCTAATCTATATTGATTAGATTGTTTCAATGAGATCAAAATCTTACATATACAGTAGATGATGTATTTCCTTAGCCTTTTTAAAGAATGGATACTTCAAATTGTCTTATTCAATACTTGCGATATAAACTAAGCCACACTTCCTATGCTAGCCAAGAATGTGAATGATCACTGAGTAAGTTATTCTTTTTCCAAGATTCTTATGCCCCCTCCTCAAACTGTCACAGTATTTTCTCTCCATTTAGAACAAAACAAATCAGATTTTTTTTTTTTGCCATGGCCTTCAAATGAGGAAGCTTTCCTCACGAAAGCATCTGGCTTTCTTGGACTAAAACTAAACCATGAACCTTAAGCTGGAAAGTAAATTTGGGAAAGTTTGTATATAAAGACATTTCATGCACCAAAGTATGATATAAAAATAGTTACATCTTTCAGCTTGTGAATTCTCAAATGTTTAGCAATAAAAACATATCAACTTATCCCTACTTGAGAAAAGAAATTTAAACCATGAAAGATTCCATTTTGCCTCACTACCATACAAAACACAACACTACAAATTTCAGAGACCCTCGCTTTTTATTAGTAACAGTGTTAACCAGGCTGCTGTGCTCTGCTCTGCTCTGCTCTGCTCTGCTCAGCCTGTCCTCAAGTTCTAACCTCCAGCTTAGTTCCCCGCTGTGGTAGGCTCCAGCCTTCCTAACCCCACTCACATACCACAGCACTCAGGCCCCCACCAGGTCAGTTCCTGCTGTTGACTTCTAAAGCTGAGTTAGTGTATATAACCCATCATGAAGACACAGAGCCTTCTACTCCTCGGCCCCCAACAGCCCATTAGAAAAGGATATAAACTACGTGTGTCCGACTAATCTCACGGGGAAACCCTTGAAATACTTCGGTGTCAGTATCTTTTCCATCTTCCTCAGCACAGTTTGTACCAGGTGGTACAAAGCCCTGTGACTTTTGTGGATGTGAACTGACAACCTTGCTCTCTGCAGGAATATACTGGGTTTGGAAATACAGCACTATATCAGTTTCCTTTCACGAGGATGATTGACTCTATATAAACCGATGATCTCTACCTTTCAAAATGTAGACTTATGCCTTTCAGCATATAAACAGGAATGCGGAGGAAAAAATGCTACTCTATTAAAACTAACTCCATAAAATATTTATCACCTAAAATTCATACAATAATGTGCTATGTTTTGAAGAGTTGAAATTGCACAATTCTCATTCCCTAGAATGAATGCTCCGTTTTTCTCAAACTGGCAGATGCTGGACATTCATGCCCAGATTCTCCATAGATCTCCCACGCTTTGACATCCTCTCATTTTTCATTCTTTAGTAAAGCATTTTGACTGGCAATATTTAAATAAAAACAGACGTTATAATTTATTCTTAAGTACTAGAGGTCTGTGTCATCTTAACTGTATTCTTCACTGGAAATAAAAGATCAGAACACTGGCTTGAAGCAATATTTTTTAAACAAAATTAGTGGATATTAAACTACCAACAGCTCACATGTTATAATTTAAATTTGAAAAATATATTATTCTGAGGGAAAGAAAGATAATATTATATGTTCATTAGTTAGTCACTAATTGACAGTCTCCTTTAAATTCTGATTTAATATTTTCTTAAAATTATACATTTTTTTTTAAACAAGGACAAGCCTGATTTTTATAGTATCAGGTTTTCCATCAAATTATTGTTTCCTTTTGTTTTTCCTTTGACATTTTCAACTTAGAGTCAGGTGTATTTTAGAGTCACATAAAGCTAACAAGAATTCAAATGGCTTTAAAAAGCCCCAAACACTTGGCC